CGGTCTGCTTTGCTATTTACTCCATAAATCACTGACGTAGATGGATTCGTACCTTTCCCAAAGCAAATTTCGCGAAAGTGAGTCTATCTTAACCGGAATTCTTCGCGCCGATTTCTCATTCCGAGCCTCTAACAATTACGTCACGTTACTCCTTCGTATATAATAAAGATTTCAAGAACTCTTAGAAGCTGAACCTACATGCATCTGATATTTAATTTAATGAAAAAAAGATGTTGTGATATAGTGTGGTAATGCCGCGGTCATAGTAATAATAATAATAATAATCCAAACAACATTTAAATGATGACAACCAATTATATGTACATATCTCACATTTCCTTTTTTTATTTATTCTGTTTGCCATACATTTGAAAAGTTATATTTTTTCTTTTTTATTCGACTTTGCAACTTTTCTGTTCTTTGTCCTTCCTGATCAAAATTATAAGATCAGATTTATTTTATTACACATCACTCTATGAAAACGGGGGTTTCTCATCACAACATTTCAGCCGTTGCCTTCTACGTCCTTCTTTAGCTATTTCTCGTTTTCTTATCGGAAATTTCAAACCGAAATCTTTACTCAATTCCCGAGAGATAATATATCCGAATTCCGGTATCCATACCAAAAGTAATAATTGGCATTATTTATGTCTTTTTAGTTGTCATTGTGATATCGTTTTTGTTATTTATGTTTAATCTATTGCGATAGGTATTTACTTTTTGGCAATCTGTGCAAGGGAATATGACTTATCAATTTTTCATATTAAATTCTTTCTGGTGATATATGATATTTTTCCTCTTAACCAGGAACTGTTCTTTTCACTACTCTCTGAATTGAACAGAGGGTAACGTTCTAAATTTTCCGAAATTTACCGAGTAACGAACGATAAATGAAAATAAACCTCTATGCTCAAATGGCAAAACTATTTAACTTGTAACAACTCGTTCTTGACAATTTGTGCCTGTTGTTGATACCATTATTCAATATATTATTTTTAAATTGCTTAATCTGGAAATATAATATCAAAATCATTATTATCACATATTTATTAACATTAGCGTAGCACAGCACTGGCCAGCGTGAACGTGACACTCGGTGCGGATCGAACTCACGACAGGAGCAAATGGCCTATGAATACGAGCTTGTCAACTATAACAATACGTAAAGTGCAAATATTGCATGACCACTATATAATCACGAAGATTACAGTTATCTATGATTAACCATATTTGGAAATGCGAAAATGCATCATGCAATTATTAGGTCAATGATGCTTCCCTTTAAAAATACTGATTTTCACCAGTACTAGAACGTTAACCATTTGAGGCAGTGAAAACTCTAGACTATGATCGTTCACCAAGCAGGCACATATTGTCATTGTTTTGTTTTGAATGAAAGAAACGTAATGCCATTACAAATCGAAATATGAGTTTGTTCTTGGTAATCCTCTTTGAAATCGTTTGAAGCAGTTCTTCTGATTACGTTGCGTTTATTTGATTATTTATAGGACACTGTTTTAGAATTCCGGATACCCTAAGAAATAAATGAAAGAAAAGTATCTCAATTTTTTTTTCAAATACCAAAATAAATCCCATTTGTTCTTGAACAGCTTGTCTTTTCCCGATAAAAACAGCAGTCTTTGGTATCTTATATGAATGGATTTACTCTCAGATGGTTATTAGTAATGAACAATGGCTTAACTTTTTATAAGCATCTCAGCAGTATCATTGGAACAAGAAACAAAAAGAGAGAAAAGATTTATATCTTTTAGACAGACATGAAATTTAAGTTGCTGCGATTTATATGCACAGTTGTTTTACAATTCAATTCTCATAATTAATACTATTTTCCTTCAGTCATCTCTATCGAAAAGTATACGCTGATAATAGTGTTTGTTTTTTTTTATTTGTGACTTTGTGTGTTCATTCAGAATGCGAGCGTTTATATTTGAATATGTGCTTCCCTATAGTTACAAGGGCAAGTAATAATACAGATTTTGTGTAACCAGGAGGTAGCAATTTCTGTCTCAATTCCGCACAGTATCAGTTGAGGCCAGAACAAATATCATCACTATTGGTGCTGGTATGAATATGATTTATTATTATTATTGAACTAACGGAAGATTCCAAGATGAACACAATCGCCATCATATCACGCACATTTCAGTTGTATGCCAACTCACGCTAGCTGTGTTGATTACTAGTAAAGCCGTTTTCTCAAGACAAGCGACTTTTGTACAAAGACTTGTATCGTAGATTTTTATATTTTATACTTGTATACAATTTTTAAACACAACATTAAGATCGAAGATATACGGTCGAAATATCGCTGAGCATTGTCAAACAATTTTCTTATTCTTTTCTTAAATCGCGTTCTTCTCTAAATGTTGAAAAATACTGGAAGAATTACGTCAATCATTTTGCTTCTTCTTCATTATCTTCTTCTTCTTCTTTTTCTTCTCTTTAAAATTATTATTATTATTATTGTTCTTATTTTTGTTCTTTTTGGGTTTTATCTTACATTATGGGTGTTCTCTACCAGGTCGTATGACCACAAGCGATTAGTTCCGTTCAAGGAATATTTGCAATGGCAAGCAACGCAGATTCTGAAGCGATCAAATATTCGGCTTTTTCCGATTTTCTTAATGTATGATTCTAAAGTAAATTGCAACGCCTCATTGATTCCTGGGACAATTATTATTATTATTATTATTATTATTATTATTATTATTATTATTATTATTATTATTATTACCAATAATACAATATGGACGTTCTTCATCAAGAGATACGAACTCAGATAGCACCTTTCGTAGAATAGTTGCAGAGTCAAACACCGGAGACTTCTTTTTTTCTTCTTCTTCTTCTTCTTCTTCTTCTTATTATTATTAGTAGTAGTAGTAGTAGTAGTAGTGGTATACCAAAAACACAAATTAAAAAAAATATGAACCAAAATCAACGGGATTGAATCATGAATGAAAGACAGAAAGAGAAAAGTAGTAATCATTTTGTCTCAAAGGTGCGATCAGATTCCGCTGCTAGACTCAGACACGTGTTACCGGAAGTGCTCATAACATTACATCAAGAGAATGTAATCTCCGATTGTGATTGGGCGAAATTGTGTTCACGCATTCTTTATATATATATATATATATATATTATATATATATATATATATATATATATATATATATATATATATATATAAGTAGCATATTCTTACTCAATCATTTTTTCGTTGAATAATCTTATTATTATTATTATTTGACATTAAGAAGTCGATTAGAGAATTGGAGAAGACCCCAAAAATAAATGTACATTATGTTCAGATTATTAAACGAAACATGTTTGAACATATATATATATATATATATATATATATATATATATATATATATATATATATATATATATATGCATATGCGCTCATAACATTACATCGAGAGAATATAGTCTGCGATTGTGATTGGGCGTTACTGTGTTCACGGATGCGCATATTTATATATATATAAGTTTGTACGTACGAAAAATCATATTTATCTTTCAACGAAACACTAAATAGGACTCATCGAATGAGTTTAATGATTATTTGTCTGTTAAATTAATTCTAAAGATTAACTTATGTTAATAAAACCCTTCATTGTTTTTGTCTCGTGTTAATGTTTTCAATATTTAAACTGGGTTAATTAACTGGACAATGATTTAAGTCTTTGTACATTTTTTTCTTTCAAAAAGAGTAGCTTCCTTCCCTTTTGGGATCTTAAATCTTTACACAGAATAAATATCGTCAGAGGTTGTGACAGATGCAACAAGACGGCATTACGGTACATGCAACACAATACGTAATCAAATTACATTTAAGCTGGTTTATATTATATCAGCCGTATATCTTTTCGGCAGAGTGAGAAATAGTGGATTTTTTTTTTTACTTTTTAAGCTTTCTCAAAACAGCCAAATTGTTACAGGTTCAGAATTCTTTTAAGCATTCTTGTCAACAGTTAAATTGTTATTAGGTATTTAGTTTATTTTAATTTTTCTTAAAACAAGCAGATCGTTCATACGTTAGGACTTACTTTAATCTTTCTCGACTTATTTTCAAAGCATGGACGTATATTATTTGTAAGAAAATTCAAAATGTTTTTTGATGAACAGTGAACGAGAAAAATCATAGAACCCCGAACAAACAATTTTAGATTCTGTAATAAGAGTAATGGCGCCCCACACATCTGAAAAATAGAGGTGATGTTTCAGGGTTTAAACAATTGATATCTGAACAAACAGCGTTTTATCAAGTTAAATTACGCTGCGTTACGAGAAATTCAGTCGTCGGATTTCTTTGCAAATGTTTAAAGTAATTTTTACAAATTAGTATCAACGTTGTCTATCATCTGCAGAAAATACATTTTAGGTTTTATTTGATGTTTAGAATGGAATGTTTACAATAGTTGTAGATCGACCAGCGTTTGTAGATGATAAAATAGAATGAATGGCGACCATATAACAAAAATAAATAATTTTCTTCATTGATCTTTTAGAGTTTCACACTGGTGTTAGTAAAACTCAAATTAAAATTCCTATCACGAAGAAAAAAAGAATATCCATTCTTTTCTTCATTACTTGTATATGATGTCTTACTATTTTTCCAACTTTTCTTCTGAAATCTCCAATTAACAGTTTCTTCTTTCCATCTGTATATCAGAACGAGGCTCGTAGAGTTTGAGTTTTCCAGTACGATGTATGTTATTTTTTCATCTTAATGAACGAAAAAATACACGGTGAATTCTATTCGTTTTTGTCTGCTTCCTCTTCAACTGGCTGGCTGTCTGTCTAAACAGTGAGGTCGTTGTATATCTTTATCTTTACGCATCACTGAACGCTTAATGATAGACGAATCAGTCTCAGTTGTATCCCCTGTCAGAAGCGATCGAAAAGCGCAATTCTCGGACGGTTTTATAAGACTCACATAAGGTATTGACAATCACAAGGCCCAAACCGTCTAATTACATCACACTCTCTTCAATAACGAGAACCTCCTCCCCAACCAAATCTTCATCATTATCATCATCATCATCATCTGTGTCATCGCTGGACAACTCTATCGATGTCTTGCTCAGATTCGAGTCGACATCACTGGAGTTGTACGAAGGGGATTCCGTCAGTCTGTCTTCTTCGTCTGCTTCTTGCTCTTCTTCGGCATCCTGACTCTGGCTGGGCACCTGCTCGGGAAATCGCCAGAGCGATGGACTGATGCTGCGTATGCGCTTGTGTCTCGGGCTCTCTTTTGTCAGCGGCTCGGTGTCCCGGCCGAACGAGTGACAGCTGGACGTCTCAAAACACGGGTTATCATATTCGCCTTCACACGATTGTCCACCTTCTGTTATGGTCGACTTGGAGCGCTGTAATGCAGGTTCGGTCTCGTTCGCTGGTGGTTCCGCTCGAGAAAATGTCCAAACGGTGCGTCTAGTTTTCATTGTCACTGGAAAAACAAGAAAAAAAAAATGACGTTAATTAATATCATATAAAATATTTCATTATTATTATTATATTATATTATTATTATATATATTTTCCATTCAATGTCAGTTGTAATCGATTGATAAATAGGTCTGTACCTATTTGCATATGTTAAGCGGAAGGGATATAAAGTGTTTAGTAAACTAATAGACAAGCAAGAAATTTACTACTGATCACGTGTCGTAGAGCAACACAATACAACGATATGGCGTCGCTGATAGGATTTTCAAATCGATTGGATGAACCGGAATTTGTCGAGACTTGGATCCGGTGTTTTGCAACCCAAGCTAGGGCTAAAAATTGAAAAACGACTAGGCAAGAGAGTAAGTACCTCCATTAGGTCGCGTAAAAAAGCAGCATAGCACGATGAAAAAAGGCCCTTAACTGAACGAAAACAAAGTTTTGTCATCAAAATGTTATTAATTGAAAGCTAAAGCATTACATTTATTATTTACAGTTAGTAACATATTCTGTTGCATTTCAGATAGAAATTATATAGATTGGGATGTCAAATATATGCTCGATTTTTTTTTTAATTTTCTTAAAAGCGACCATTTTCTTAAATTTTAAGAAATTTGTAAAAAAAAATTTGATTTTAAACTTCTTCCTAAAATAAATTATATATTTTTGACACGTTATTTGAGTAAAAATTAGAAAATTTAAAGTTAAATTAATCTGATTTGAAACAAATTCAAACAGTAGTTATAGCATAAAAAATTTGTATCCAAACATTTCTTAACGATGTGTCTGAATTTTTTCATGTCTTTATTCCCGTTATGGATGTTATCGAAATGTTGAAGAGGTTATGACAGCTATTATGGATGATCAAATTTGACATAATTTTACGTAGTAAGCGAACGCGTTTTGTTTTTTTTTAATTTTTAACTCGTAATTTTTAAATATTAACATTTATTCAGCAATTATGTAATATTTATTTTTTATTTATATTTTTTTTTTTTAGTCTGGATTTCGTTTCTTAGGTTCTTAATCTTTTTATCTTATTTAACAACTTACTAACTCAAACAAAAAATTACTTCAATAAGATATGACCCAAACTAAAATAAATACCTAAAATAAAAATATTTAGTAAAAAAATAATTCACAAAAATTAAAACTAACATAGAAATTTTGAAAGGACTTTTTGCAAACACGTTAACGATGTGAAACAGAACTGGATATTGAAGGGAAATAATTGCAGTGCATCAGACGACAATCAAATCACGTGATTTTTTAAGGATTATGTCGTGTATAGATTCCCCATAGATAGCAATTAGGAACTTTTTTTTTTCGCTAGAAATTATTTTTAAAATTATTTTTAAAATAATAGGGCACAAACGACTGTTATGAGCTTTTCAAATTTCGATTGGTAAATTTACTTTTCATTTACCGATATCATTGCATTGCAAGGATAAAAGCAATGAAGAATTTTAAACGATTTTTGAAGTATTAATAATCTAATATTATATAAATAAATAAAATTTTTTAAAAATGAAAAAAATTATTGTACAAATACATTATTCATCGAAAAAGTTTTATTTCTTCAGACAATAATGTCAGTAATACGACGTATTTACAAAACAAGTCATTTTTTTTTTCCATTTTTTTTTTTTACAATTCAGAGCAGATTTTCTATGAAACCGCTAACTGTTTAAAAACAAATGGTGATTTACTTTCTCTAATGAGTCCTGTTTTTAACTAATAAAAAAATCCCAGTCTTAAAAATTTAGTTTCTCGAAATTTCATGAAAATATGTAAGGGGGCGGAAACATCTAAAAAAAAATCTTACCAAATTTAAAAAAAATTCAAAAATAATTTCCTTCATTTCTGAATATTTCCTGAAAGTTTCATTAAAATCCGACAATTATTTGATTTTTGCAAGAATTTCCAAATCAATGTGTGTTTTTCTCAGGAAAAGCGCAAAATAAAACAAATCTTTTTTCTCTTTTCCAGCGCTGTCGTAAAAAACAAAAAGAAAAGATTTTTAACCAAAATTTTAAACGTCCTAGAAAGGAGTAAAAAATTTCAAAAAATAATAAAAAATACTTTGGTCTTTCATCTTAATAACATAAACATTTTGATGATAAAATGAGTTATGGGTCTTTCTTCATCGTAATATGCTGTTTTTTTACGCGACCTAATGGAAGTACCTACAACAGAGGGAGAAAATGAAATGACTGACCTATTTTAACTTGATTAAGCCATAATAAAAAAATCTATTATGGCATTCCTAAACAATTGGAGAACTTGAAATACGTCGAAATTTCACAAATTATGACAAGAATTTTCCAGCCTAAAAAAAGAAATCTGTCATAGTAGAACAAACCAAATTTCTGCCCATTAAACAGAAACAAGAAAGAGGTTGTAGAAGTTCAAGATCAAACCAAAGGCTTTGCTTCAGGGAGGTGTAGTGGATTGATAATTAGCATTGTACCTATTTGCCAATGATAGGAAGAAGAGATATAAAGTGTATAGTAAACTAAGAGACAGGTAAGAAGTTGACTACTGATTACGGGTCGTAGAATAACGCAATACAATATCAATAATGTTTGCATTATTTCCTAGCCATTTCTTTCTCTTGCCTTTCAAAGCATTCCTATAATAAAATTAATTGTAATGCTAATTTTATTAAAATCATTTGAACATCAAACATTTTTTATGTGCCGTGTCCTTTCAGGACGTTGCGATTCTGATTCTCAACAATTTCCTATCTTTTGTAATTCTTAGTAAGATTTGTCATTTCACCATCTTCCCTAATCTCTGCCATCATAATTTACATAAACTCGTTAGGTTGGGTACAAGTCGGTATGCTCTGTCTTTCCTGTCGAAGTATCTTCTGTAAGTGTCAAATCCTTAGTCAGTCGAGTCAGTACTTTCTGAGCGACTGTTCGGTTGAACTCTCTTCCTACAGACGGGAGGAACCCGAAGGAGGCTACGCCGAAGGGCGGAGTCTCTTTCGGGGAGGTAGACCGGCCCTGAACCCGTTTATACGGGCTCAATGGGCATATTTATGGCCGAGCCCACGGGCTCGGAGTGCCCACGTTAAAAAGGCCTTGTGCCACATGACACCCTCGTGGGGGGGGTGACTGAATATCGTCAAATCCTACAAGCCCTATTTAGTCATTATGTGCCCTATAAATGTTAATTTTCTCTTTCTAATTCGAAGTAAACGCGTTTTCCTGTTTCCATTTTCCATAAAACTTCGTCGTTTCTCGCATGTTCAGTCCATGGTATTATCAGCATCCACCTTATTCCCATTGTATTCTCAGCGTCCAAATTTCTTAGACCGAGTAGACTCCGACGGATACCAACTTTACGTTTTCAAAGTGTTGCGATCGAAATATTTGTCAGCGTAGACCTACCATTTTACAGAAACCACCACAGTACCTGTCATAATAGAAAATCTAGAACTGCAAGCTAAAAATACCAGGCTAAAAAAAAACTGTTAGACAATAGTCAATAGTCAAACATTGTTAAGAGCTAAAAAAGGATAAGAAGCTGTGGAGAGCTGTGATCACCACCGTCCTTATGGGACACGGTACACAGAAGAAGATTATGGCTTTGTTGAAAAGCATTGTAAAACACAGATCCTTACACACACTTTGGTACATTCGCTCTGGAGATAAAAATATACTGAACGTTTTACGACGCTGCAGAATGAACTTATACGTTCCTGGTCCCGATAGTGATATGCAGGTTGTCCCATTTACGATGGAACACATTTTAAATGCAACTATCGTGGATTATAAAAATGACATAGGGAACAAAATATATTTATTACATGACTGATATACAACAGTTCAACATATTATCTGAGATTTGAATATTACATCCTTGAGATGGTCACCATCACAAAGAGAATATGCGGGAGCTCGTTCTCTCATTTCAAACATAATGCGTCTTAGCATATCAGCTACAACGGCTGTGAAACTAAAATAAAGCATCCGTAGAAAGCTCACAGCATTTCCAATTGATCTGCTACGCCGTGTTTGAAAGAAGTCGAACTCGTTTATGTTCTCTTTGTGGTGGTGACCATCTCAGGGATGTAATATTCAAATCTTAGATAATATGTTGATATATTTTGTATTCTATGTCATTTTTATACTTCAAGATTCATTTAAAATATGTCTCATTATTACGCTACAGCCTGTATATTTTACCTTCGTCAGACCTAAGATCACAGTGTTAAGCACTCAGTGAAAATTGACATCACATTAGTTTCTGCCCAATCTGGGGTCCTTTTAATACATTTTCACTTCTCTGTTGACGACGGTTCGTCTTCACTTAGCTTATACCAATGTCAGATTCGCAATTAACTCCAGAATCTCACTTCGATGGGAAATGCGTAAGTCAACAATTATACACTTCTTTGGCAGATGTTCGTACGATTACGTGCTGTCAATAACAAGGAACAATGAGAAAATATATTTTCTTTCTATGAATTGACTAGATTATGATATCAGTAAGTCATCTTTAATTATTTATCTATTTTATCTGTTTTACCGTCGTATGCGTTTATTCTATCACGGTTATATTAACTGCTAGCGCATGGCAAACAATCACATCTCTCTGATTTATCATTTTGCACGGAAGTAAATATATATATATATATATATATATATATATATATATATATATATATATGAAAATAAGTGCATACAACGTCTAAAAACACACTATCCAGCCGGGCTAAACCATAAATTTAACAATATAGATAGTACTAATATATAACTTTAAAAATCAAAACCTACCCACATTTCTCACCAACACAAGACAGACATGCTTACGGAGGTGTAGAGGCCTCACACGTATACACCCACCCACACTAATATACACACTTACACACATCATACTCACTCATTGCCTAATGAGCCAAATGATAAAACACACCCACAGCAATACACACGCTTACACATATCATACTCACTCACTCCCTAAGAACCAAATAACACACACACAA